GCCAAACTATGTATCTTATAAATTCCTTCTTTGACATTTCTTCTACTGTGTTGTCTATGGATTCTACTGCTGAAACATCTTGGCTTGTTGAGGTGTTTTGTTCCCTTTTTTTTCATGTTTTTTTTTTGTCTTCCCATCTAGCAGTATGAATCTGAGGCAGGACAGTGTCTACCCTGTAGTCTTATAGTGTCCCTAAAGGCTTCCATTACCTCATCTTTAAAGGGGAGACATATATTAACAGCAACCAATGCAAACAATATATAGCCTTAAACTAAATAGCTCCTATTAAGGTGTCCACAGTTTTGTCACATTAAATAGAAATGATGTGTTCAATTATTGTCTACAATATAAAGAGTAAGTTTGCTAAAAGGGTTTACCATTTCTAAGTAAGGACAACGAGGGAACAGAAGTAGTGTAAGATATAATGTTTATGAGAGGAAAGGAGAGAAGATAGAGGTAAAAATTTATAGTAAGAGCAAGGGAGGAATTAATAGTGATCTGCAGTTAGTATGAGAGAAGTGAGAATGAGAATTCAAGGAGATAGGTGAGAGAAAAAATATATATACAGTTTTTTTAAAAAGTTAAAATATAAGGATACACAACAAAATGGTAATATACTATTCAGACATCCCATTCCTCAATAAATTGATGCATGAACATACTTGGATTCAAAGATCGTAGAGATGTGAGAAATAGGGCAAAAGAAAAAAAAACACAAGGAAGTCTCAATGGAAAACTGAACAATAGGTTCCATTGGCTTTCAAAATTTTTTTTCAGCTTCCCTTCTCTGCTGATAGATGGGATTGTCTGAAATTTGATGGTAGCTCCAGCCTGGCGGATGCTGGGCAGATTGGATGGGTGACCCTCTTCTGGTCTTCCCACCCACTGTAGCCGGCCCCTTCCATCTCAGTGTACTTCACGACTCGGTGAGCTGGAAAGAAACTGTTTTTTTTTTTTTCCAGTTTCTCCAACCTGAGCTTCCCCCAGGGAATTGCCCTTAGTCTCTGTTGATCTAAGGGCTTGCTAGACCCAGAGTGACCCACCCAAGCAATATGACAGACCCCGGCTTCAGCTTCCCCAGGCTCTGCCTTGGTCTAGTGCCAAGATCTCAATGCTGTTTCCACTTGCAGGGAGATGACCAGGTAGGCATTCACACAAATGAGCAACCCTGCAAAGAGGCAGCCAGATGGCAGCCACTAGCACACCCAGCAGAAAGGCCTCAGGTACAACCAGACCTGCAGGTATTCAGACAATAGATCTCCAGGCCCATGCTGGTGTCCCCAGACTGAGGGGCCCATGCCCTGAGATGGCAGCAGTGGCAGTGGCAAATGTGCAGGCCCTGGCTGGTGTCCCAAGATGGCAGTGGTCATGTGTAACTAAACCTGTGGGCATTGTGACAATGGGCTTCCAGGCAGCAGCGGTCAGCAAGCCATGAGTGATCTGCTGGCGGTCTGCAGGCACTCTACAGGCTAATGGCAGGCAATCTGCTGGTGGACATCAGACGGCCGGCAATGGGCAGGCAAGAGGCAGGCAAACAGGCAAATGGAGGACGATAGGCACCTGTTAGTGAGCAATCTCCACACCCCTAGCTTCTTTTATTTTTTATTTTGAGACAGGGTCTTGCTAAGTAGCTGAGGATGGTTTTGAACTTTTGATCCTCCTGCCTAATCCTCTGTTCTAGCTTTTTAATGCTTATTATACCCCCATTTCCTTTCAACCTACCTTTGACTTTATATGTAAAGTGTGTCCTTCTAAGGCAACATATGGTAAGTTCTTGTTTTTTCAAAAATCTACTGTTTCTACTTTTCAACCAGGGTTTTCAGTAAATAATTAACTTTTAATGTAGCTAGTGATATGGTTGGATTGAAGTCTATGATTATGGGTTTTTTGTTGTTGTTGTTGTTAACTTTGACTTTTGTTCCCTTTTCTTTCTTCCCTACCCTTTTTTGATTATTTGGATATATTCTAGTATTCAATTTTCATTTATCTATTACATGTTGGGTTATATCAATTTATATTATTTTAGTATTTTCCCTAAAGAACGCACTAGACATCCAATTTCTCACTTTTTTTTTTTTTTTTTTTTTAGGATTCAGTAATCGTACCACGTTAAGTAAAATATAGATTCCTTGTACTCCTACAGGTCAATTTACCATCACTCACCAACCTTTATGTCCTGGTTGCTATGTGACTTTCATGATTATCCGATGAGATAATGTATGGTTTTTGACTCTGAATAGTAACACATGTTTTAAAGAACTTAGGAGGAAAAACAGGTTTATATTTATGCAGATATTTATCACTTGTATTGCTCATTCTTCATCACTGAAGATCTAGGCTTTTCTCAGGCATCCTTTCCTTTCAAGCTGGAATATATCCTTCATCTGTTAGCAATTCTTTTAGAATAGGTTTGTTGGTGACCGATTCTAAATATTTCCTTGCTTGATGATGTTTACTTGTATCTTAAATTCCTAAAAGATATTTTCACTATATATAATAATCTGGATTGACAGTTCTTTTCTTTTGGCACTTTAGAGATGTAGTTCTGCTGTTCTCTGGGTTCTGCTAAGAATTCTGCAGTCATTCAAATTATCCTTCCTCTGCATACAATGCATGCTCTCCTTTAGCTATTACAAGAGTAATTTTTTCCTTTATCTGTCTCTTTCTTCACTTTAGAGTGATTATCTTTGACTTTATGCTATATGGAGTTCATTGAGCTTTTAAAATCTATACCTTTTCTTTTATAAAATTTTAAAAATTTGGGAGCATAATTTATTCAAATATATATTGTTTTCTACTTGAATCTTTTGCTCTTCTATTTCTAGGACTCTAGTGGCAGCATTGTTAGAACTTTAGACATTGTCCCATGGTACTTCTGAGACTGATAATTTTTTTCATTATTGTTTTTTCTATGACTCATATTCAGTAAATTCTATTTCTTTATTACTCAAGCTTACCAATTTTCTTTCATCTCCAGCTACTGTATGAACTGTTGAATTTTTAGATAATTCCAATGTCTGTATCATCTTGAGCTTGGCTCTTATTAACTATCTTTTCCAATGATTATTGGTCAAATTTTTTATTGTTCTTTACCTATTCGCCAATGGGGGAACATTTGATTTCAGACTAGAAGTTCCATCTTTCCTTCTATGAATAGTATTTCTAATTTCAGTTCAGTTGTATGAATTTTTTGTGATGCTGCTTTGTGTTAAAAATGCATTGTTTAGGGGTGAGCCCAAGAGGCAGATTCATACTCAGAAAAGGGAATCCCTCTACCAGGTCTCTTTGGTAGGACCTCTCGTATACTTCCCAGCTTTGTTCTCTGGTGAAAGACAAGATTTCTATCCGAGTTTTTGCCACTGATTCCACTGATCAGCAGAGGAGCTCAGTAATTTGGGTCTGCATTGAGGAAACTCATCCCCAAACTGGTCACTTCTTCCGGATCTGCTTCCTGTCAATAATGTATCTGATTTTGTGTACTTTTCTAGGGTTCTAAAGTAGTTGCTTTTAGTTTTTGTATGTTTGTTAATTTTAATGAACAAAAGAAGTAGACTCAGAAGGGCTCACAGTATGCTAATGAAGTCATAATTCTATTATGTTAATTTAAATCTCTTTCTTAACCCATGGATTATGATTTAGACACACATTGCTTAGTTTCTAGGCACTTGAGGGATTTTCTGGTTAACTGTTTTGTTGTTGTTACTGAACACTAGCTTCACTCCGTTTTAATCAGAGAACATACTAAAAGTAGTTTTAATTTTTTGAATTTTTTGGAGGCTTTTCCATGGCCCAGCATATGAGTTAATTTGGGAAAATGTTCCACTTTCATTTGAAATTAATGTTAATAATGCCTTTGTTGGGTGTGCATACAACACACACATCCACATCCACTTAGTCAATCTTATTAATTTTATTTTCAGATCTTCTATTCTTTGATAATTTTGTTTGTTTGTTTCCCATACATCTATAGCAAAAGCTGTGCTAAACTCTCAAATTATAATTATGAATTTGTCTTTCATTATGCTTTGCTTTATACATTTTGAGTCACTATTAGTGATGGATATATATTGGATTAGCTCCTTTAGCATTATGAAATGCCTCTCTTTACCTCTTAATACTTCCTGCCTTAAAAACCTATTTAATATTTGTATAGTTATACCAGCTTGCATTGTTTGGTTCTCTATGTTATATCTTTTAGAGGATACTCTAGAGATTACAATATTCATCTTTGATTTTATGCAGTATAATTTTTTACTTTAATTAGTCTGACAAAAGTTGACAGAACCTTGGATTCTTTACCTCTATCCTCCCACCTTTTGCATTATTGTTACTTAGTCGACATATATTTTCAAATGAATGAAGTTGTCAGGTTATGATGCCAAGTATTCTGGATTGCCTACTTAGAAATCTCTGGTAGATTGTATTTTTGTTCCAAAATGTTTGCTTCTTTTTCCATAAAAGATGATTGTATATCCATGTCATTTGCCAATAGTATTGCAATTCTTCCCTTTGGAGGAACATACCTGTTTCTCATTGATGTGGAACTTGATCACGTGGATTGCTTTTGCCAATGGGATGTGAGCGTATATCTTGTATGCCATATTCAAGCAGAATCATGTGGTTTGGCTTTTTTCTTTGCCCAAAGAATCATATGTCCCAGATAAAGTCTACTTAGTCTAATGTATATCCAGAAGGAAAAGAGCCAAACCCACTGAGATTCTGGAGTTGTTAATTAATGCAAAGCATGTAGTGAAAAGGTATTATTTGTAAACTTAGAGAACCATTTATCAGGTTCTGGTTTTGTTTCTGTAAGTTTCAGAAACTTAACCTTAAGGAAACATTGAAAATTTTAAAAAAATCCACTGCTGAGCATCAGACTTCTAAACTCATAACCCTGCTATATAGGATCAAACTCTCATTTTATTAATTTATTTGTAGAAATATAATCGTAAGAATTGAAATACTTAAGCCACCATGGATATCTCCTTATTTCTCTTCAGTAAAATCTACAGGGAAAACCAAGATATAATTGGAAGATTGCATAGCATGATGTGGTCAACTGAGTAAGTTCCAAACCTGTCCATTTCCTCATTCCTGAACCTGTGTTTCTTTAGTTGTTAAAAGAGATTTTTCAGATGTGATTAAGATCTTGAGATTGGGAGATTTCTACCTAATTTATTTAGGTGGGTTTTTTGTAATCACAGGGGTTCTTGTAAGAGGGACAGGAGATCAAATTAGAAGAAGGCAATGTAAAACAAAAGCAAAGATTGGGGTGCAGTGACGACAACCCAAGAAATGCTGGCAGCCAACAGAATCCAGAAGAGGCAAAGAAGGGATTTTCCCATGAAACCACCAGGAAAAAAACCAAAAAACATCCTGCTGCTGTTTCAATTTTATTCTGTTTTCCAGAACTGTAACATAATCTATTTGTGTTAGAAACGTCTAATTTATGGAAATTTATACTAATGGAAGACTATACACTTGAGATCAATAAAAGAAATAGAAATGAAATAGTTAATGAAATTGGCTCTTGATAGTTTGATTTATTCACATAATAATAGGGATGTACAATTAAAGTCTACTGGATACAACCACATAAAATGTGAATACACTATTTTCACCTGACTTTTCGAAGTTCTTTTAAATTCTACTTTGGCAGATCTATCCATTCCTAATTGTCATGATCTTGCCTTAAATGTCCACTCTATTCATATAGGTCTCAAGTAAGTTGTACTTTTATGATAACAGTTCTATCTTTGTGGGTTTGATTTTTCATAATTTAATTTTGATCGATTTTATTTTGATTTAAAATTTCACTCTCTGAGGTCAAACTAATTTCCATTCTTTCCAAGTGATTTGGTAGGCCCTTATTCTGGACTCCAAACACCCAGGCTACTTTACAAGCCAGATGTTCATATTCAAACACAGAAAACATTTACTGAACTGCAAAATATCTTATTCAACAGGTAAAATAGAAAGCTTGGACCCTAATAGCTATCTAGGTAATATTTATGCAGATAAGGCAGCAATAAACATTTATTTAGTTAAATATGAATATCCCTTTTTTCTTATTTTTACTGTTACAATGTAATAAATTTTACAATAAAGATAAAACAAAAATTTTCTATTGCTCATTAGTGTTGCCTTTGTAATTGTGACATCATTCCTATTTTTGTCATAATTTAATTTTTTGACATGTAAAAACTGCATGTGTATATATATGTAAGGTTAAAATTTGAGGTTTGGTTATACATTGTGAAATGATCACTGCATTCCAGCTAATTCACATATCTACATAGTTATCATTTTCTCTACCTTAAATGAGGAGAATTTACAACAAAAATTTGAAGCATATAATGTTATGTGTTCAATCCCATAACTTTCTGTTGTTGTACAATGGAGTGTTAAAAATGTTATTAAACACAAACTCCTTAGAAAATTTACAGAAATGCCTGATAAAATAATTATACTGACAATGCCAAAGCTCTGTAGTTTGTGTATATATACTGTGTGTGTGTTCATTAGTGTCCCAAAGTAGACTCAACTGCTTCCTTTATTGCTAGATTCTTATATTTCTTTGTATAATCTCTGAATTTTAATTGTGTTCTTTTCAAAATGTATTTGCATTTTTAAACTTGTTTTGTTTTTCCAAAAGAGTAAAATGAAAGATCTTTTAAGCAGAGAGCTTCCAATGTAGGTAAAACTGTGAGGAGGAGAAGCATAAGAACTTTTGTATATGTTAAAGATTATTCATGGAGAGGGAGGGGTCTTTTAGTAATAACTTCTGATTATGAGGAGCAGTCTCAAAGTTGAGAGATTAGCAAAGAGGACTTGAAAAACAGTCTGGACCTCAGAAGGAAAAATTGCAATTAGAGAGAGAGACTTTATTTATATGTTTGTTCGTTTCTTAGAAGCAAGCCAAGGAGGATGAGAAATAGAGGCAGGCTGTGCAGCCTGAAGTCAGTCTAGTACCATGGAGAGCACCTGGGAGAGGTTGGGAGAAACCTAAGCCAAATGCTATGGATCAGTTTCAGGGAGTGGTGTTAGGGCTGGCTCAGAGGAGTCAAAACCAATCTTTTCTATCATTGAAGTAAATACTATTTGTCAGGCTCAGTAACTAGACCATGGATTCTTAGAGGTTCAGAAACAGGCATCTATGGATAAACTAGACAATATGCAAGTTCCTGAAACTGTTTACAAAACATGTACAAGTGTGTTTGTAACATTTTCTAGGAGTTGATTTTCAATAACTTAGATAAAAATTTTCTCAGTCGTCAAAATCTCCATACTAAGACTCCCAATTCTAGGCTAAGAGGTAGCTTATGTGCATGAAGGCAGCATTAGTCTGTTAAAAGGCATGTGATTAAGGTTGGGCTGGTGCTTGGTGGCAGTCCAAGAAGTTTAGTACCTTTTAAAAACTAAATTCAATTTCAGCATTTATGAAACCACATGCCCACAGCAGGCATTTAAATTGTAACTGAATTGTGCCAACTCAGTTCATTGAATTGGTATAGAAATACATTGAATTGTATAGAAATACATCAGAAAAGCCTTATTAAAATTACAGATCTGTGAGAAAGTCTGGGGTGGTTCTTTGGAATCTATAATTTTACAAACTTTCTGTGATGTACTACTCAAAGAGGAAAGAATAGGGACATTAACATCATTCAGGAACTTGTTAGAAATACAAAATCTGTGAATCACCCCTAAACTCAGACCTACTGACTCAGAATATGCATTTTGACATGATTACTAGGTGCTTTGTATGTTCACCAATGTTTCTGCAGAAGTTTCACTAAAGCTTGAGAAGTAATTCAGTGAATTGTGAGCCTGAAAGTTTTTTCTTTTTCTTACTTCTCAGTGATGTAAAGGATTTCTAATATTAGTGTAATATGAATCTTTGATTTGGTATTCTGGTTGTCTCAAAGTATTTTATACATATTTTTGTTTGATTATGTTTTAAAATATAGCTTTTTTAAATGAAGTAACTTTATGTACTAGTTAAGATCCTTATAAGAGGTAAATATATACATTTAAATGCTGCTAGACACAAACCTGGTTAATAAAAAAAGAAACAATTAGAAAAACATAGTTTTCTAGCATGAGAACTATATTAAATCTGTTTTTGAAAGGGACTTTGAATTTCACTTGATTCTTTTAGAAGCAACTTGGTCATTCAAAACACACATCTCTCTTTGTGATAGCAGAAGACTGTATATCTCTTCCCTGGGCATTAAGTGAGATCTCCAATTATCAAATCCAGAGAAAATTAAAACAAAACAAAACATATTTTTGCATGGACTTGCTCCACTCAGATATAGCTGAAGGATTTTTTAAAAAATTATCCTGCTTCATTCAAAAAGCAACTTGGCACTTCAGTTGTCTTTTTTTTTTTCATGCTTAGATCAGAAAATCCACAGGAAGATGTAGCACATGTTTTTCTGCTACACACTCTTCAACTCAGAATGTGATGAACTGGTTCAATTATTATTCAAGAAGCTACAGTTTTTCCTCTCTCCTCTTTGCTTCCTCACTCATTTTTAGTGAATAACAAATATTACATGGATTGATTTAACCACCCCCTGATTATTGTAATCTTCTTTCTGCAGCAGTTTCAACACTGCTGCTTAGTAGAGACCTCGCTCTGTTCTGAACATTTGGAGGAAACATCTTTTAAATCTAACCTTCCACAGTGGTTCCTATGCAGAAGCTCATCCAAGCTGCTCTGCAACTCAGTCACTGCACCCACCAGAAGAGAAATATAACTTCTCAGCCACAAATTAATTGGGTTGAGTAGAGGTTATTTATAATAGAGAGTAGATTCCTTTCTAATTCATTTAATTTTTTTCTTCACTTAAAAAATGTAACTGTTGGTAATTGTGATCAATGGAATAATGTCCTCCACAAGGGTTTTCATGCCCTAACCCCTAGAGCCTGTGAATGTATTACCTTGCAGGGCAAGAGAGACTCTACTGAGATGGGAGATGGTTCTGGATTATCCAAGTAGGTCCAAGGTAATCACAAAGGCCCTTATAAGAGTGAGGCAAGAGGACCAACAGTAGCAAACCTAAAGACAGAAACAAGAGTTAGGAGTGATATGAAGAAGGAGCCACTAGCCAAGGAATGCAGGAGGACTTTGGAAGCTGAAAAGGCAGGAAATAGACTCGCCATTGTTGTCTTCAGAGGGAACCAACCTTGCTGACACCTAAACTTTAGCCCACTGAGATTGATTTTACAGTATGACCTCCAGCACTGTAAAATAACAGTAAAATAACAAGTTTGTGTTGTTTTAAGTTGTTAAGTGTGTGGCCATATATTTATTGAGGTAAGAGTATTTTTATAAGTTATTTAGCATTTTTCTAATATTTTATTATTTATTCTACAATTTTATACTATTTGCTTTTTTAAATTAAAAGTGACTGTATTATTCATATTGCTCGTTCAAAATAATTAGTTTTATTCCCCTTAAAATGATCTTCAGTGTTTCATACCTTAAGTAACACCATCATCAACCCGATGGATGTTGAGAAGGAGGTAACCAGTCCTGAAGGGCAATGATTAGATTATGATTTGGTCTGAGTTAACCGTGCCTGCTTCTGCATCTGGAGCAGAGCTTGACATTTGCATGGCAGTTTTTCAGTGGCTTTTGTGTTCCCATTTGCTTTTGATAGGTGTTTATGCAAATCCTAGTTCTGTCACTTTTTTATTTTTAATTGTAGATATGGATTTTTCTAAGATTTGGATTTCTTATATATAAACAAGGATCACAAGGTATTATGAAAATTATCTTAAATGAAAATAAATGCAAGCACTTAGCATAATTTTCACTATGTAGTAAGTGCAGCCTACTCAGTAAATGGTAGTTGTTGGTTGGTTACGATTGCATTAGACTTGGAGATGGTACTCTGAAGTTTGTTTATTATGATAACCTCTGACATACGGTCATGTATAATCCCAGGTAATATAGGTAATAAGAAATCTGAGGTTGATCAATCAACCAGTTAAAAGGCATAAACACAAAGGTTCAGAGAAAAGGTGTCTAAGTGGTGCTGCTTCTCACTTGAAATCCCAGTGTTATCCTAGGAATGAAGTGTATCCAGCTCTGTTCTACAAGTGACAAAAGCCACTCCACAGTATGCTGAGTGTGCTTACTGTGTGGGAGTTGGTTTTTATGCTTATATTAATCTCCTAGCAAAAGATAGCGCTCTGTCTGAGTTCATCTTAAAAAAAACCTGAATGACTAGAAATTTGTTGATGCAAAAAAGGATGTGACAATGTTAGATGTAATTATGCAATTTGCCAACTGAGCAACTGAAGATCACTGCCTAATTTCGAGAGCATTTTTTAATGTTTTATCTCATGTGAAATAAAGAGGAAAAACATTTACTATCCCATAATAAATTCATCTATTGCTCTCATTTATGCAATGAAGGCATAAGTGTTCACAGACACCTAGAAGATTCACAGAAAAGAAGGAGATCATTTTTAAAATGCTGCACCATATGAGTCTCTCAATCTTTAAGTGGGTGTTGTTCTGACTAGGATGTTTGAGCATGCTAAATCTCATTATGTTGCTTTTTTATGTTGCCATAACTCTAGTGGAATTACAGAACAGCAGTGGATCAGAATTAACAGGACTGGGTTCTTGTCTGAGTTTTATCATCGCGTGTTTTATGTCATAATATTAGAACTTTAACTGATAAACATAATCATTCCCACCTTTTTTTTTTAATTTTGAGGAGAATAAATTACATAGAGCTTAAAAAAGAACTTGCTCAAAATCACACAGTCATAGGTGGCCAAGTCAAGATTCAACCCAAGTTGTTTCACCTCCATGACCTGCGTTCTTATACCAGTTTATTACCTCTACAAGTCCTAGATTCTCAGAACTGACCCAATTCAATTAATTGTGATAGACAGTAACTGGGGTGGGGGTATGGGGAGAGGAAGGCTTTGGGGTTTGGTTGTCTCCTACTGTCAAATGCCCTTTCCTAGTCTTAGTGACAATAGATATGACAGCTGTGTTACTGACAAGCAGCAGCAGCTCCAAGGTCAAAGAAGAATAGATCAAGAGGGAATAGTTCTAGCCAGAGGATAACACAATACATAAGCCAGTGAATCTTAAACCAAAGCTAATAGTCAATATCTATGCTGGGCTGATTTTCCATGGACTGACAGGACTTAATAAATAAAACCAGGTGTTCACTAACAAAACTGTTTTCATTCTTGCCATGTTTCTGTTCCAGTAACAAAATGTGTGTGTGTGCACACACATTTTACACACAAGTTCAGACAGATGATCAGCTGGAAGACTCATAATCAGGAATCTAACTTGCATACTGAAGAGGCAGGATTGAGTAAATTCGTGACTCTCAACACTGGTTACATATTATAGTCACCTTGGGAGCTTTAAAAAAACTATGAATGCCTTGGCTCCACCCCAAGATGTTCTGATTTAATTGGAGCCCAGATATAGGTAGATTTTGAAAGCTTCCCAGCTGATTTTTAAAATATGTCCAATTTGAGAACCTTTATATGAATCATATCAAGCAGGCTTTGCATTGATTTCTCCGTGGGGAAAGAGTTTCTCCCTGGCAGTGTGGCCTAGAAATGAAAATCTCAATGGAGAGTCCTGCCTTGAGATGGGACTGGGATATTTTCATTCTGCTTACTTCCAGATTGTGTCTGTGTAGCCTCACTCCAATGGCCCTTCTATCACAAAGGTTTCACCACCTTGTCAGGAAGTCTCATGAGCCCCTAAGAGGCAAGAAATGGAGGTGACAGAATCCCACCATATCTAGTACACAGTAGGTCTTATTACATGTTTGTAGACTGAATGCAGGAAGAGAGGGGATATTCTATTTACATTAGAGTTTTATCTACTCAATTTTCCCTTTTTGTGTATGAAAAACCAAGACATCTTGTTTTTTTCCATATCAATGCTAACTTCTAGAATAAATGGTCTCTTCTACATTTTTCTACATTTTCTACAATCTTTTCTAGAATGCATCTCCTGCTATAAATGTATACAATCCAATAAATACTTATTGAGGACTAATTATTACCACACTGATATGAGGTGTACCCCAAAAGCTCATATATGAGAAAATTCAAGAAGGTTCAGAGGTCAAAGTATTAAATGATGAGAGTTGTAACCAATTAGTGGATTAATCCCCTGACAGGGAATAAATGAGGCAGATAGGGTATAGCAGGAGGAGATAAGTCAGTGGCTGCATGCCTGTGGGGTTTATATTTTCTTTTGGTGAGCAGAGCTTTCTCTGCTTCCCAATTGCCATGTCCTGAGCTGTTTTTCTTTCCTTTTTTGCCACGATGATCTGCATCATCTTGAGCCCAGAGTAACCGAGTTGGCCATCTATGGACTGAGACTTCCAGAACTGTTAACTCCAAATAAGCTTTTCCTTCTCTATGTTGTTCTTGTCAGGTCTTTTGATCATAGTGATTCACATTGAGGTAAATATCTTGGGTAATGGATAAATAAGACAAATTGTATGTGCTCCCTCCTCAAGGGTTCATTGCCTTATAGATGGAGATAAATAAAATTCATAAAAGTACAAAAAGTTATAGATATTTTAATGGCAACATATACAATTGGGGTAACAGAAGAGAGGAGTTTTTCCACTGGGAGAGTCCTGAGGGAGCCTTCCTTGGACAAGATGAAATCTCAGTGTTCACTTTGTCTCCCTTATGCTCCATCAAGGACACAGACAACTCAGAAGTTGTCAAACTGCTGGACTGAGTACTTGAGGGTATAGCACTAGATACATGTCCATCTTTTTTTGAAGAATGGTAATCAGACACATG